GACAGTGGCTGCTGTGGGGAGGAGCACAGCCGAGTGTGGGGTGACAGCGGCTACAGGGGAAGGACCGTGGCCGTGTGCTGGGGAGGATCGTGGCTGCGTGGGGGAGGATCGCGGCTGTGTGTGTGGATCACAGCCGTGTGTGTGGGAGGATGGTGACTGCAGGGGGGAGGACCATGGCCTTGTGTGTGGGAGGATCGCGGCCGAGTGTGGAGGGAAAGGGGCTGAGGGGTTTGTGGCGGTGCCGCTCATCCCCGCCCCCCTCCCCCCTCCCCCGGCAGCTGCGCACCAAGCTGTCCTCGCAGGAGATCCAGCAGTTCGCGGCGCTGCTGCACGAGTACCGGGATGGGGCCTCAGTGCATGAGTTCTGCATCAATCTGCGCCAGCTGTATGGGGACAGCCGCAAGTTCCTATTGCTGGGTGAGTCCCGCAGGGGTGCGGCTGGAGTGTGGGAGGCTCCATTGAGGATGGGCTCAGGGTGGGTCGGCCCGGAGGGCTCTTTCCGTTGACTGGCAGGACCTGCCCACGGGAGCCAGACTGAGGAAGCCGGGACTGTGTGCGTGGTCAGAGCAACTGCTGGGGGTGGGGGGGCTTCCTCCAAGAAGGTGGCACTTGAGTGGGTTTTGGCGGGTGACTAGGAGTTCGCTGGGCGGAGAAGCGAAGGCACCACTTCCAGGTAGAAGGACCTGCCTTTGTTGAGACGCTGGCCCTGAGCTCAGGCGGTGGGTGGGTGACATGTGGCCCTACACGCCTACTATGCACACCCTGTGGGATGACGGCCTCGGCTGTGTCTTCTGAACCCTGAGCCCGGAGAAGGCAGCCGGTGATGTGGGCTCTGCCCCCCACTGTCCAGGGAGGGTGCACTTGTTCAGGCTGCCACCTGGCACATCCAGCCCGAGCTCTCGCCGACCCCCAGCCTCCCTGCCGGGGTCAGTTACCCGTACCCCCCTCCCCCGCCCCCATGTTCCTTTGTGTCTGGTCCTCGCACGGAGGAGTGGGTGGTGCCGGGGGAGGTCCGCCCACCCTCTCTGTTCTGCACTCAGAGGCCTGTGAGCAGCCGCAGCCAGAACCAGGCAGGGATGGGAGGCCAGCCACCTGCTGCAGAGCCAGGACCTGCCGGCGCTCCCCCTGCGTCTGTTGGGCCAGGGGGGCGGGGCTGGACGTGGGGCAGGAGCCTCAGGCGAACCCTGTGTCCACAGGTTTGCGGCCCTTTATCCCGGAGAAGGACAGCCAGCACTTCGAGAACTTTCTCGAGACCATCGGGGTGAAGGACGGCCGGGGCATCATCACCGACAGCTTTGGCAGGTACCGGCGGGCGCTGAGCTCCACCTCCACCTGCACCTGCCCTGGGAACAGGGCCACGGGCAGCTCGGACGACCAGTCTGCGCCCTCGGAAGGGGACGAGTGGGACCGCATGATTTCGGACATCAGCAACGACATCGAGGCTCTGGGCTGCAGCATGGACCGGGACTCGGCCTGACCCTCTACTGTGAAGGACGCGCCCTGGGGCGCCGGTGCACGGGCCTGTCCCTGGAGGGATCCTGGGGGTCCCTTCGGTTTTGCACACGACGTTCCTGTCGAAACCCTCAGAGACCTTCAAAGAAGTTTACTGCGATGTGAACGATTCATCCGTGGTCTTGGTGTGCTTGTGATCTGGTGGGTGGGGGGCTGGGGGCCTGGGGTGGCTGCCCTTTGGCTCTTGGGGCAGCAGGTGCTGGTGTGACCCCTCACCTGAGTCCCTGGTTCCTTGGTCTCCCTGCTGTCACAGGTGGTCCCACCCCAAACCTGTCCCCCTTTCTCCACCCTGAGAGCCTAGGGTCCTGGTTTTCAGGGGGCCATTGGCACTGCGTCCTAGGTCTTTCTTGGCTGGGCCCCTCCTGTGCCCTTGGCACATGGGGAGGCAGCAGGGGTGACCCACCCTGGGGTCGGGGCCTGGAGATTGTAGTGCAGGAGGGTCAGGTGGAGAGCCCCTCCTCACCCAGGAGATGCCTCTGCCCGGGGAGACCCCTGGCAGCATGTGCAAGAAGCTCCAGGCTGAGCTGGGTGGGTGCTGGGTCCCCAAGGAGGGAGGAGAGGGCCCTCAGCTTCCAGGGAGGCAGGGGTCCCAGCAGCAGGTTGGGATGCGAAGAGGGGTCTCATTCTTGGCTCTGGCCTGGGCTGTCTGGGAGCTGGTCGTGGGCCTGGGCAGGCAGAGCTAAGGGGACATCCAGTCGGGGCCAGCCTCTCCCCAGCCCACTATGGGTCTGAGTGGCCATAGCGGGGGTGGGGGAGGTGGCCACATGACAGGCCCTGGCCTAAGTGTCCTATGTGGACGGCAGGAACGGCTCCCTCCCCTCTGCGGGCCCCGCTCCCATGTGGCCCCACTCAGCGGGTCCCTGGACTTTGGAGAAAATGTGGAGAGGCTGCATGGCCATTCCGGGCGCAGTGAGGGGCCAAGGAATTTGGGGACCCACTGCCCCAGCAAATGCCTTTCCGCAGCTGATCATCCAGAGCCCCTGGGTCTGGGGGTTCCTTCCCGAAACTCCCATCCCCAGGCCCACGCCTTCGTGACTGCCCACATTCTCTGGGCAGGTGAGGTACCCTGGACATAGATGGGCCTCCTCCCTGGGAGACGGGGGAGGACTCCCACCCTCCAGAGACACGTGGGGACAGAGCCCCACTTGGGGGTGGACACAGGACCCCCATTCTGTGGGACATGTGGGAACAGAGCCCTGACCTCTGGGGACACAGGGAGAAGACACCCACCCTCTAGGGACACAAGGAAGCCACCACCTCTGGGACATGAGCAGGTAGGACCATCACCCTTTAGGAACACAGGGGATAGACCTCCATCTCTGGGTCACTGGGGGAGGACCCCCACCCTCCGGGACACAGAAACAAAGCCCCACCTTCTAGGGACACGGCACCCTCATTCTCTGGGGATAAGGGATAGACCCCGTCCTCTGGGATGTGTAGGCAAAGATCCCTGTCCTCTGGTGACATGAGGGGAAGACCCCCACCTTCTGGGGTATATGGGAACAGAGCCCTGCCCTCTGGGGACAGAGGGAGAGGACACCCACCCTCCAGGGGCACGGGGAGGCCACATTTCTGGGACATGAGCGGGTGGGCACACCAGCCTTTACGAACACAGGGGACAGACCTCTACCCTGTAGGACTTGGGAGGGGAGACCCTCCCCTCTCCTGGGGCTCTGCATGGGTCCAGGAAGTATCTCCCCTTCACAAATGCCATGTGGCCGTAGCCTGCCCGGGACTTTGGAGCAAGAGCAGAGGCTCTGAGGAGACACCCATTTATTGAGCAGCACAGCTGGGGGTGGGGATGGATCCGTGGTGGGCGGGTGGCGGTCGGCGGCTACATGGTGAGCTCCTGTGGGAAATGCAGAAAGACAGGGCAGGCTGGGGAGGTGCCCGGTAGGGCCAGCGACAGGGGTCTGGGAAGGGGCCGGCCGCTCACCATGATGGCGTTGACGATGTCACTCTGGTTGTCCCTCAGGGCCCGCACGGCCCTGGCCCTCGACACGTTGGCCTGCGCCATCACCAGCTCGATGTCCCGGAGCTCCAGCCCTGCCTCGTCCACCTGGGCGGGGTGGGGGGAGGTGAGCAGGCAGGTTCTGGGGCTGCCCCCTCCCCGGGAAGAGCCCCGAGAGCTCCT